GGAAATGCAAATGCATTACCATTTCTACGGAACAAGTCGCCACATGTTCCAACCCCCAACCTGGAGGGCCAGGAGACTGTGTTCGTCAGACCTCTAACCATTGACCAACCTGGTATGAGAGACTCTGTGAGTGTCGCGAGACATTATCCAGTATAGCTCAATGGATGGCTGAGGTGCGCAAACCGTCACACCACGGTAAGGTCCAGTCTCTTCGTGACAGTTCAGCAGAACGACAGAAGGGCAAACTTCCTTCGGGCGTCGGGACTACTAGAGCATCGGTTACTAGTTGAATCGAAGGCTGAATCAGAGTTCAGCTTATCTGGATGTGAGGCGATGAAATATAGGGAAAATGAACCAAATGAGAATCCAAAAGAATCGTCGAACTCGAACCTTCAAAGACAATGGGGCAAAACGACCATTAAAATCACAGCTTGCGACCTTGATATTTGGATTGCTTCCAAATACACTTATATACTAGAAGCCCACCAAGGACACATCACAATAAGGCGAAACCAAAGCTCCGTGCTGGCTGCACGCTAGGTCCCAGAATATGAGCGTAGTTTGGAGTTCGGAAGGCCTATTTTCCACGACCTTGTGCAACTTAGAAGAAGGAGCCCAAGAGTAAGTAAAACGGTTAACGAGGCGAAAATAACGCAGATAATAAAACTGCAATTCGAGTATGGAATTTAACATTGACAGCCAGGAGTTTTCGAAGGCGAGATCCCGAACGTCACAATACTCAACCTTGAAAATTTGGTTTCGCGCGAAGGCCGTTCGTGGATTTACATTTAGCACGAAGGCAAGTTTCGGTATGTTCTTGCCGTTTAACGACTGCGGTTAACCAGAAAGGCAAGGGAAAAAATTGTGTAGTACCTCTCTATCTCGGCGTGGGGCGGTAAGCTTTTCAGCGTGAAGATTTGCATAAAAAGCGTTTAATATTGCTTTGAACTAGGTACTAGGCGGAATGAGGAGAACCCCCGGATGAATGCCATTCCATGCTGCAACTATCCAAAATAGGAATACTTTTGCCCAATAGACGTGTGTCATCTGAGCTTGAATATTTTCTTACCATGTGTTTGCTGAATGAAAGATGAAAAACACGTGGGACAAACCTGGTTGAAATGGCATATGTAAGTATTGGGTCTCCTGAGCGTTGACGATATTACAGGGGAAAGATATCAAGCGCCACGAGGCGCATTTTATGCTCCACGGATTTGAGGGTAGAACGATTTTCGTAACAGCTCATTGGAAACGCTCATCAATTGTTAGGTCCTTCTCGTGTCCAGAGTAGACGATTCGGGTTGCATATCCAAGAAGCGGTCTGAGGTTGGCCCCAAACAGTATTTCGAAGTTCATGCGATTAATACGGAAGAAGGTGCGCCGAATAATACGTAGAACGTTGGGTGACCTTTGAGCCGGTTTATCTTGGTACAGTAAGAAGGAACTATTTGAAGATAGCCAGGTTCCCAAATTCTTGTTGGAGTCCATTCTCGTGACGTCTTCTCATCCATTTCCCTCATGCACGACGAATACGTGCGCTTAGTCCCCTCCTAATAACAGTTGAACGCGATTTTCGTCATTCAGCGGAATTTGCTGATCCAACGTCTACTTCTGTGCAGCGTCTACATTCATTTGGATGGCACTTAACTCTAGGGTTTCAAGTCGTCAGCAAGTAGTAGACATGGATTTAAAAAAGCGTCCGGATGGACATTGAAGTAGATTTGAAACAGAAATGGTCCCGAAACAAGGCTTTGAGGATTTCTTCTGGAGACCAATGTCAAAGAAGAGTAGCTCGAACCTACCTTCACTCGCGCTGTTATATCTGATAGTAACATCTTGATCCAGGTAGGCTCGAATTTGTAGAAGAGCGATGGCTTTAGGATTTGGTTCATTATGACCGGCTGGATAACACCAACTCTGCTGATTCACCAGATCTGATGTTCCGGTTTCTCATTTTTCACCGCTGCACACTTTTTGTCATGTTTAAGGCAGGAAGCCTCTGTTTTGTGCTCCCTCGCTTAGTTTCTTTCCCACCACCTTGAAATCCCAACGGTCCGGGCTTGATTAGTATTCCTTCCAAAAATGCATGGTAGCTGTGCATCCATGCCCCTGCTGGTAAGTGATGACCATGCCTACTTTGGATAATGCCCATTCCATATGTCGCTGTCCCTTTTCCTACGCCTATGTACCCACGATCTCCGCCAGTCATACTTTTATTCTAGCTGTAACATTATAATCATACTTGACGGTATGCCTTCCACAAGTTGGAATATACACTATTATTGTTCTTATACTTGGGAGGCTCTATCAAATGCTTTTGAGAAGTCGAAAAATATGGCATCCGATATTGGCCCCTTTTCCTTAACTTGGGCTAAGCTGACCTTGAATACGAGTATGTTGGTTAAGAAAGAACGGCTAGAGAAAAATCCGGGTTGAACTGCAAATTTCAAGTTGTTGGTCATGAGGTGATCTAAGGTTGACCGGTTCAGAATGGGTCCCATCACCTTGTGCGGTGCACTGTTACGCAGCCTTTTCCAAGTACCGAAAACCTAAAATAATACGAACCGTTTTTCGATGGAAAACTTGGAGTTCAAATCTCCTTGTTTTGTTATTGTGTCTAATTTTTTCGTGGCTCATGTGAAATAAACCGTCTTTTGGTTGGTTCCTGCTTATCTGGTTGCCCAACTTAACCGTTGATTTGCGGACGTTTCGTCCCTATACGAACAGTCTTCGTCGTGCGCAACTGAGTGGTTAAAGGAAATCGAAAATAGTGAACTAAATTGAGAAACACCCTGCAGCGAGAATTTCCCATTGATCATAGTGAATCAAGCGGTTACACGTTATCATTCACAAAGTAAAAATTTCATGTGCGAAGGCTTTTTGAAACGCAAAAATACTCACGGGTCTTCTTGAAATTTCCGTAGCGTTTGTAATGTAAAGCAATTGTTCACAAGCCAATGCTAATTCGTGACGATTTTCTGTTAGAGGTGGTCACAATGTGGTCACACATGCTGTCACAATTTACCAACCCTCATCCGCTGGCTTCAAAAAACGCCTTTCCACATATCCCCATTCGAAAATTCCCTCGAACGCCACGTATATCCGATTTGCTTCGGCCGCCCATCCATCCTGCACCTATTCATGCACATCGTACCACACAATGCTTGTTAATTTTTATCCGCCACTATCCTCAACAGTCCTGATATTGGCGAACGTTTCTTTGGGGCTTAGCAGCAACAAATAGGTCCTGCCGCTTACCGCTCAAATTTTGGTGTCACAGTCCACACCGTCCAGGATTACTGTGATCTTCCCACTTGACCTTTGCCCATGTATGGAGAACATTTGTGTGTGCTTAACTGCCGTTTTCCGTTCAGCCAGGTTCTCTTGCGCTCTCCCTCCTCCTCCTAGCTTTTCCGAATACATGCTTGGTGTTGCTGATGGCGCAAGTTCCTAATCAGCTGAAAGAGGCGGGCACCGGACGTTCAATAAAATGAATGGGGACCCACATGTATTTGCCTAGAACAATCTAACTTGTGTAAACCACAAACTCGGCATGTTTGCTATCATGTGACTGCCTTAAGCCGCCTGTGATCTTTAACCATTTTCGTCTTTGTGTTCACTTATGCCATTTGTTTTTGGGTGATTTTTTGGCTAATTTTGGTCTTTTAATCCCCGTCTGCCCGAACAACTGTATTACTTAATCTCATAACATGGCCTCTGATTGGTCAGGATCATTTCTAATACTCCGTGGTTGGCCGCGACACGGTGCATGACCACCCCGCCAATTTCGCACGACTACCGCATAGACCGGTCACGACGGCTGCAAGACCATTATTGTGGCAAATTCCTGAATTTCGTCAGCTGTCACTGAAAA